CAATGTAGAAATTTTTTGCAATCTTGAGCAAGTCTTGCGTATTTGAGATCATGTGTAGTGTAAAAAGCCTTTCAAATATCTCGTAATTTACGAAAATATGAAATTATTAAGCTCCTCGCAAACATTTATTAGGACCAACACTAATGTGGCATTGTTTTCATAATGTGCTTATCACAACATAAACACTGGGGTTCTCTACTTCCTCTCTCACTTTCTCTTTGTCTTAAACCTTAACTCACTCACTCCTCTCCCCAACGTACGGGGCGTGCAGGTCATTGCGAAGTCCCGGTTTTTTCCTCTTTTGCATGCTTCCTTGAATCTCTGTTCTTGTATACGTGCACTGTGTGTTCTTTTATTCTAGAATTCAACATTTTGAGATAATCTTGACAAATATATAGTTAGTGTGAAAAAACGACCACACAGACACAGCTCGTACCGCCCACCCGAGACATTCCGGACGTTCTTCATACTACGTCGCAGTCATGGCCGAGTGTGAGTGATGACAGCGCCGCTGGTTCGCAGGTGCGTGCTATAGGCTAAACTGGGAAGATGAGGAGAGTGAAGTCCGAGAAAAGAACAGCCGGCCAACGATTACGGCGTTGTGTCTATTTGTCTGGTTAAATTTGTCTCAGTTGACTGGCCTGAATTTGGTTTATGGCTAGCGAAATTGAATTGTATGACCTATAGTATGCTCCACGATCGAGCAACGGCTCGAAGGAGCTTGTACTCGCTGGAGTGTTCTTCTTTGTGTAACGCGTAAAAACAGGGGAGTAGCCGTGGCACATCTGCAAAGCGCTGTCATGCCCCTAAAGACATTATATATATTTTTTTAAGGCAAGAGGCTTCCACACAAACATTACGATTGCTTAAATATAATGTAACTACAATATCTCGCATTAGGCGTTTTGTCAATACAGGTCGTTGAGCTCAATGAAGTCCTTAAACAAATGTGACAATCGCATATGGAATCTTTTTGACTAATATGGCCAATCCGCTTCAGTCCAGAATGTGGACCAACAAAAACAACCCTTTCAACCGCTGATTGCCTTCCCTCATTCCAACATTCCAACGAAAAAATAAATAAAACTATGTCGCATGCTTTAATTATACATTTTCCTTACGTAAACGCAAGGCATGACGGATGAAGATTTGAACAGCACACGAATCAATGGTAAATAATGACATTATCGTGACGATTGCATCGATGCAAGAATCTGGACGGGATCATTAGGCAGCTTTCTGTGTACGGCATAAGGGCATACTCATCAGTCCGGTACGAACATCACCTCATGTTAAGTCGACGACAAGGAGCCATTAGCGCCCGACTCGCACACCATTCTCCGACAACACGGAGCGATCCTTTCGTGGGGTAACACGTGCAAAGGTAAACACTATGCAACCACGTTACATACACCTAACTGGGCACGTCGCGCAGCTACGAACCTTCATCGAACGCCGCCAACCCCCCCAAACGACCCGCATACGGCCGATCGACCGATGTATCAAAAGCGCCTAACAGAGCGCACGCTTCTGCAACCTGTTTCTGCAGCATTCGGCCGCACGGAGGCGTTTCTCGAGCCGCGAAGATTTACTGCTGTCCATACTGCGAGGCAGACAGAAAGAAAAGGGTTGGGGATGGTATGTGCATAGGCAGCGATGAAGCAGAGCCTCCGCTCGTCCTTGACAGCGCTTCGTTTTGCAACGACCGATCGTCTTGCATGCAAGCTGCTTTGCATTGCCGGCTGCACGTCATGCATTGCGCCTTGGTCGCCTCCGCGTGCAGAAGTGGTCGCGGTGGTGCTGTACTGCGGGCCAGCTGCACCTTTGAGATTCCCGCCGCTTTAACTGCCGGGTGCACGTAAGTGCACCGTTTGGGAGGGTGCTTCGCCACCCGCCGGGGCAGTCGAACGTGCGTGAGGTCACGTGCATGTAACGTTGGGGCAGGTGCATTGGCGTTGCTCCGCCACCACGCGCGGTCGCCTCTTTCTGCCGGAGCGGCGTAATATGCAGTCTGAACAAATCGTGGGAGCCGATCTCGCAAGCGGTCTTTCTCGGGACGCTCTCTTCTCGACGGTTAAAGCGATGCGAGTGAAAGTGAATGCGCTGATGGTTTGCGTGCTGGGACGACAAAAAGCAGGAAGCCGAAATCAAAATGAAAAATTGAGCGGCTCGTGGCGAAACCATTCTGCAAACGTTTCTTCAATGTAACGAGGTGAAGGTTGAGAGCACGACCCTAGCTAACGATAACAACAAAAAAAAAGTGGATAAGCCTATGGAGGGGCCTGCACTGTACGCGACTGCAAACTCGTTTTCATTAGTAAATTCCTCTCGAACTGTATTCCAAGGAACGTATAAGACATAGATAAGCAAAAAAGGTTTGATTTGGTTGGACATAGTTTGGTAGAGCTGTCTGATGGTGTGTGGAGAAATAGAAAAAGAAAAGCAGCAAAGCCTGATTGATTATCAATTAAGTACAAGTGAAACGCGCAATACCACGTGGTTGCGAAGTCTTAGAAGAAGCAGTACGAGAATAGCTAAAAACAATGCGGCATTTGCGCATCCTATTTTGTCAATTGCTTATTTGCACACAAGTTGGTAGAAAGAAACTGTACTAAATGGCTCTAGTACATCGAATGGGCAGAGCTGAGTGGTGTTGTTGGATTTACTTGACTAAGTTCTATAACACATTAATGAGGCTATCACAGTGGTTGCATGACGTCGATTACGTAGTTCCGCTGTATTACTTCTAGAAGACATTTCGTAATGCGTTGAGTTATTGTAGATTTTTCGACATAATTTTTTTTCAATTGTGCTTTCGAAGTGGTCCGTCAGGGCCTTACATCATAAAGTTCATTGCCTGCCCGTCTTGTATTCTTTCATTCACCGCACTACATGAATTACACTTATCGCTCTGTCACGGAGCCCGACATCACCACCAACTCATGGTTTGCCTTCTTGAAACCAACCAGGTTACCTTCACGAAATCACGGAAGGCGTCACACTGCTGCGAGATCGTTCAGTTCGGAGCATCGCGTTCGCTCGCGAAATTTACATCGCAGAGTGAGCGATGACTTCTTAGATTGTGTTCTGAACGATAGATCAAGTACTAATCCAGGGAACGCAGCTTAACCAGTTTGGCACCCAACTTTCTTCACTACACTCGAAGCGAAGGACAAAGGGTTATCCAGATTGATGATAGCAGAGCAGACAATGAGCTAATGCTTCCTGCGTGGAACAACACCGTGCATACAATAGAGGCACGTCAACGGTGCTCGAAGAAGCCTTCAGATGAGCGAAGTCCAAGCGCATTGTACGAAGTACAGCTGCAGTATGCTGTTAGTTACCCTTCCCCCTTGTGAAGAATATTAAGCGTGTCCATTATCTGTCCTAATAAGCATGGAGACAGATGAATTCCTAACAAAGCGTCAGTTAATGCGCTAGCAAATAACAAAAGGTGTGCACAATGAATCCACCATGTTTCTTGGAGCCCAAACGCTCGTTAATGTCTTAGGTTGTAGTTCATTGTGCGGCGCGGGGTTGGCTCAGAGGTAATTAATGTCAGCCAAGGCAACGAGCCACTAAAGAGCTTGGCATTCAGGCGTCCGCATCACACTATTCATTTTTCAATGATGTATGCTGCACGCAATTGCGCAACATTTTTTCATGCGTAAGTAACGCGTCGGAATTAAAGAAGATTCACTGAGCCATTATTCTTGTCGCTGCACACCAAACCCGTCGCGTTTAAGGTGATCAAGTGTATTCGGATTGAATACGTATGCTCTCGGTATTAAGGCAGGTCTAATTGAAAGAAACTATTCTCTTTGTTTCGTCGTATATTTAGTCTATCGGGATTGCAAGGTTTGTCACATACGAGCAGCAAGACAATAGAATAAAACATGTCGAAGGCGAAATGTTCTGAAATATTGTTCGTCCAAGATAGCCGCAAAGCGACTGGTTGCATTTGGTCTCAGAGGGCTGCGACGGTCGCAAAGTGACTAGTTTAGTTCAGTCGCTCGGCTGCTCAATTTTCCAGTCGCACGACAGCAGTTGCAAACCTCTAAACCAATAAGATACGCATGAATATGATGTTAGGCTTACTTTACGGGCAGACACTGATTCTCTGTGTAGACGGGGAATATAAGCCGCGTGTAGGGAACGTCTGTCGCATGCAGTCGAAGCTTGGTTGTCATTCGGGCAAGGGTGAACGAGTTAACACCTGAGACTTAGGTTCTCCAACCTGGGGCAATGTTAATTTATAATGACGCAATTCGAACAGCAGTCTGGTGCATATACATGGCTAACATGCGCTCCGGATCTAGACACGCATGCCTCTCTGGAGCAGTCCATCGCTGCACACAACGAGAGTGCACGGTTGTCTCGGCGTGCACTTGTGCAGTATACCGTGCATCTAACATCGATTGTGAGGGAGAGTTGAAACGTACAAAAATAAAATTTCATTCTCGAATACAGAGGAAAGCAACGGGCGCCACGTCGACGCAGTCGTCGTGCTTTTCGTATCTGATCGCATCAACAGCATATACACTTCTTTGACGACGTGTCTGATATATTTTCTTCTTCAAAGCTCCATTTATTAAAAAAGCTATATAAGGTTGCTAGAGCAAACTGTGTCACTTCGACTGTTGAGTCGCACTGATAATTATAATTACAATATTTGCACAGAACTAATATTCATGCTTTGAGCCGCAGCCGTGCCCACTGTACATGTATTCGTTCTATTCGCATTTGTTAGGAAGCAAACTACTTCTTCTAAAATCTGGAGGTTGTAGGGATCTGTATGTAGGCATGCCGAACCATTGCGAACGGCCACGTTTACAAGACACCATTTTTTTTTTACAGTGATGAATTGGCAAAGAACAGGTTGTTCTGTCGCACGACACGCAATCGTGCATACTTGTTCTAAAAAAAATGAGCGCCATTATACATGCAAGTTTAAAAAAATTTCAGAGCGTGTATGTATGCACTGAGTAAGAGTTTCTTACCTGTGGCGCTGAGAGCCAGGACGATCAGGTTACGATGCATTGTAGTGGAACCTGCGTAGAATAAAATGACGTGCGTTTAAATTCTGCAGAATCGTGGGACTCGAGTCGCCGCATTTGTTTACGGTGCTTTTAGACCCACAGCTAACAATATTTAAATACCATGCGCAGTGTTCCGCTTAGAGTAAGGTTTCATGAAAGTACCTTTATACAAGAAAAAGTACTCTCTTCGGGCAGAAAGGAAGTGTTAGTGGAGTATGAAGCTCGAACTTTAATGATCACTGCATCTTGACAGCCGTGAAATGCGGTCACGGAAGCAAGTACAATAAATTGTTACAGGAATGCATTAAAATTTGAATTGCTACTCTGTAATGTTGCTAACCTGAACATAGATAGATTCAATAAACGTAGATAAATGAACGTAGGTAGATTCAATGAACGTAGATAAATTCAATAAATTCGAATAGATGCACGTGCCTAGTTCGACCAACATTTCCTACATTTATACTTCAAAAATAAATCTTTGGTACTAATAAGTTTGCATGCATATAGAGATGTGACCTTAAGGAGGTGCATTGCACCTTAACAATAAGCGTCAACAAAATAAATACAGAAAGTTGGACAAACTGGCATGCGATAATCGGTAAGAAATCAGCGTGTGACAGGAATAGAAGGACGAAAGGCAATATAGTTGACTGGACAAGTGCTGCCTTGGCCGCGGTGACCAAAGGTACCAAACGCACAAGGTTCGTGTAGTTAAATCATATTTTCTCAGTCTGTATCACAGTAAGAAGTTAATGTGTATTGGCACCATTTTGTATGCATTGTCTATTTTTGTCGAACTACTATAGACCACTTTATACCAAGCATCTGATTTGTTCTGTCACCCCTCCTCAGGCCTTGAAGAAATGCTCCTCCTTCCGCGAGTGTAGCGACGGCGTGTTCGGTTTATCTTCGAGACATTGTTTAGAACGCTAGAGATTCTTTGTGCCCTATATACAGGTTAGCTATCTGCTCATGTTTTGCGCAAGGCACTTGTGTGTACATGTAGCTGAGCAACTTTGGGCATCACCTATCTCATCCGGAGTGTGCATTCGAGAAGTAGAACGATGCAAAGAATTTCTACCACATGTCATGGAATATTCTCCTTTACTCTTAACGATTTGGTCTTCATTTCTGTCTTCCCAAGCGCATCAGGCGATTCACGCAATTCACGCGCTGCTGTCGGCGCCAACAATCAATCGACGTCGGAACACGGCTACACAATGGACATCGTGCTCGCCAACAAGCGAGGCGTCAACGGGTTACGTCTTCCACGCACACACTGTTCCCGGGACCCCACGTGGTTTCCCTCGCAGTTGTTATGTCAAGGTTACGACTCCAGCAATGCGTCTGCGACCTCCAATCTCACGACAGTTGGCGACATACCCTCTTCCTTCCCCTGATGCGTGGTTTCTTCCCCTGATGCGTGGTTTGTCCTGGCGTCGCTGATGCGTGGCCTGTCCTCAGCTTCGAAACATCTCCCACCGCGGTGCGCCACTGTGGTATGCGCCTTCTCTCCGTCCGCGCAGGCGCGCTTAATTAGAACCCGCCGCCGAGGAAGGCCTTGCCGAGCCGCTAACAAAGGTGCTCACGACTATGCGCGCGGAGGTACACCGTTAGCGCCGTTCGGCCTGGAGCAATGCGCTATCGGCCAAATCGACCGGCGAGGAAGAAGAAGCTCGCTGACCCTGGACGGGCGGCCGGTGTAAGAAGAAGAAACGTGATTCCGCTGGCCCTATTTTGTACAAGAGTCTCCCCGCGCCGTCCAGCCTTGCCGTCCTCACGAGTGAGTTGGGCCCTCAAGTCGCGTCCTCGGAACCGAATGCGCATCGGTGTCTGGCGATCTCGCTGATTATGCCTCGCCGTCGTGTCGCCTTCCTACCCCCTCTTCCAATCTGCGTGCGTGATTGCGTGTGAGCCCGAATTGTGACGAATGCGTGCGTTTGTTTCTTTCTTGGTTTTTTTATGGGCTAATGGGGAAACTTGCGCTTTAATCACGATTTCACTTACAGTGAGGGAATCGAGAGAATGCATCTGAGACGCGAAAGCCTTCCTTCAATTTTCGACGCTCACTTTCACTTTTCTCGTTGGTCTGTGTTGGTCCGTTCTACGTTCGTTACATGTTGATTACTTTATTTTCTTTTTTCGCGGTAATCGCCCGAAAGTGGGTCAATGCGAATCGCTGTGCACGGCGCCGTGAAGGTTCAGGAAAAGGCGGCGAGTACGCTATAGCTTGTTGGCGGCGATCACCAACGATCATGCGAGGATTCCCGGGTGAAGTAGATTCACTTCGAGGAGGCTCTCTCTCGCCATTATCGGAAAGTAATGAGCTTATGGCGCGTGTCATCTTTTTTGCTTGTTTTGCTGTTTCTTGGGGATAGGATTGCATAACTGAAGCCGAGGTATGCGCACGTGCGGAACCGACTTTGTCAAGAGGCTGTTCGGAAAGCTGCCTAATGAAGCTTTCGTCTTCTGCTTCTTTTCTTCCTCTTTTTTTTTGGTGGGCTTGCGAGCGTTCATTTGATTCTTAAGCGACGTTTGCCGTTGGTCATATGAAAGCTCGATGGAAGGGGTGTATCTGCTCGTGTCTCACAATTAAAGCAGCACTCGGGCTACAAAACGTGACATATCGGCAACGCGCTTTTGTTTCTCATCGTTGCGATCTCTTTCTTCCTTTTTTCGTTTTTTTTCTATCTCTGATTTTTTTTTTCATGCAACTCAAAGAAAGAGCGATGTGGATAGCCAGTGGAGCGAGGCGGGAGGCACTTTATCACTGAACTTAGAGCCTGTTACAATTTTGTCGCAACGAAAGCAGACCTGTGATACCAAAACGTGGCGCTTCAGCGAGACAAATGCAGTGTTTGACGCCCCTTGTGGTCGCCGAAGAAAAAAGAAAACGATGTCTTGTTGATATTTCGTATTTCGCAAAGAATGTTTTCTGGAATGAAGGTGAGCACCCAAATTAGCTCGTTTTGCGGCATTCATTTACAAGTACATACATTGAAGTCGCCTTCTCTGCAAATACTCGCCGTTTTCGAGGCTTGCATAAGTTGACCATACACTTCGTATGGCCGTTCAGAGTTGTTCATTGCCGAGACACGCGTCAATAAGCCGCTACTTTGGGATGTATGTATGTTACAGTTTCAAAGTGAGTTCAGTAAGTTTTACGGGATCGATTTTGATGTTCCTATATCTCGCGAGATATATTTCTGATTCTCTCTCTTTTTTTCGCTCTTCGGCATGAAAAATTCTGCAAACAATAATATAACATTCCGAGGCAGTAATCACAAATCGAACCGTTAGTACTAGCATTTTTTTTCTACCTATTGTTTGGTTGCCACTTTCACCAGGCGATATGAAGTGCGAGCACTATATTAATCTACGACCCATGAAATCGTATCTTTAATTCACACGTATTATAGTTGGTAACACAAGGAGAGAGTGTATCGAAAGAGTAGACTTTCAGTATTGCCATCTTTACAGCCCATCGCATGCGCAAATGCTTTTTGTACTTCTGCAAGGCCATCAAGTGCATCGCATGCTAATAAATGGTGTATAGTGCACATTCATTTGAACAAGACACGTGTGTGGCGGTAAATGATTATGACCAATGAAACGTCGAGAATAGCCGCTTGTTCAGAATCAGTTTAAAAGCTCGTCACACGCATGTTGACTACCCAGTGACATCGCATTTGTCGACCAGAATGACCAATGTCACCACGTGCGACGCACATTTATAATGCCAAAGCAATCCTTTATGTAGAGTCGTTTAGTAAGCTTAACGCGAACGCTCCGACGCATTACGTGGACTAGTTTGACTCATGCCAGCCACGAAGTGCTGGGTGCTGTTGCCGAGATAATACTTTGGTATGCTTGGATAATACTGTCGCGAGAGCAAGGTTTCCAGCTCCAGTATCTTCTCAGGAAATTTGTGCAAAACCAACTCCTCTGCTTCTTTTTAAAGTCTTACTTTGTACTCTTCTACCTTTGGATTTGTTTCTCTGGCCATTACAGAGCTTCGGCTTTTGACTTTAATGGAATGCGGGATAAATCGAGTTTTCCAGCCTGGGACAGGCGCCTACACGCTGCATTTACGGCTCACAAACCGAGCAGTCAAGGTCGCCCCGTTCGGGATTAGAAGGGGAAGGCTTACTAGGAAAAGCGTCTAGCAGGAGGCAGGTCCGGCGCCACCGTCTGAGTCTAAGCCATTGTTAACAGGCACGCGTGTCATTGAGAATGACATGGGGACGCGACCACTTAGCCTGACCGAGACATAGTGGCGGCAGGTAAACGACCATATTCTCTCGCGCTGGTGTTAGGATGTCGGGGTGCCTCGCTGTCGCATGTACACCTGGTAAGCAATGGTGTACCCACCGCTCTTAAGGACGCTTCTAGAAAGCAACAGTTAATGAAAGAACTTACGGGGCCCGAGCGTGGGAACGGCCGCCGACGGTAGTCGGCCGAAGGAAGCAGCACGGCCTGGTATGGGAGAGAGTGTCACGTGCGGAGGACCTTTCCCTTTGCGTGTTTCATTTTGGTAAGGAGGTTTTTACAAATGTAGTGCCTTTTATGAAAGTGTTTCTGTGATTGGTTGAGATGCTGCGAGTCCGAACATGTGATTGGTTTTTCTGAAGACTCTTTGTACGACCAAGGGTTAAAAAGAGGATGTTTGAACTTGAAAAGGGAGCGGAGCGGAGTCGAGGTCAACAGCGGATCTCACCACCGGAGACCAGCTATGCGGGCCGAGGGGTATGCCACCATTTTCTGTGTTTTGTCTTTGTAACCCAGTGCATTTTGTAACTTGAAGTTGTGTTAGCTAAATAAACCCCCAATGAGTGCTCCCCGAATTCATCGTGTTGGCTTCTCATCGATTGCCTCCGCGGAGTTTCAACCACACTTATTCGTCTCCCTGGTCGTCCGATGCGCCTAACTTGAACAACCCCGACGTTTCGCTACAAAGTGGTGGAGGTGCGGGGTAACGATAGTCCCGCTCCGAAATTATGCCCCGAGTC